CCCAACCAGCTAGAATATAAACTCCACGAAGGTAGAAATTGTACCCGTATTGTTCACTATTGTATGGTTCACCTAGTACTTAGTACATAGTCGGCACTCAATAAAAATTTATTGAATGAATGGTCTTTTATTTTCTTTAATTATTATTTTACACTGATACCAGAGTTATTTTACAAAAAGTTGGCTAGATCATGAAATTCATCATCTCAAAAACCTTATTGGTGAAGAAAGTTCAAACTCTTTTAGGAAGCAGTCATATGCCCATTATGATTTAATCTTAGCTACATATATAAAGAATACTTTATTGTGGGAATGTCACTGACACTTTCGTAGACATAAAAGGGCAGAAAAAAAGTTCAACTAGGCTTCGTGTGAATTGGAAAGTCAGGAATAAGGCAGCTTTTGACAGCTCTCAGAGTCAACATGCTCTCTCTCATCTGTCTCTATGTAAGTTTACTTCATTCTTTTCTCTCTGTGGATATACTTCTGCTTCCTCATCAGCTTCCTCAACTCACAAAATGGTGGCCCCAAGTCCTGAGCCCATAAAACCTTTTATTCACCTCTTCCTCGCTAAGTGAGTTGATATTTCAGTGTCCCAATTCCAAAATCCTAGAAGAGTTTGATTGGCCCAACTAATCTTTTCTTGCTAGGTCACTAAGCACCTTACTGTTAAGACCTCTAAAGTCATTCCAGTTATGGCAGGCAGACACATGACCCCCAGGGGTTGTGGTAAACTATTACATTGTTTGCCACCAATGAACAACAGCTCCCAATATTCCTCAGTTTGTACAATTTCTTTCCATATTAACTCTGGGCTTAGCCATGTGATTTGATTTGGCTAATAAGACATAGGCAAGCACAGTGCAAACAGAAGCTTGATGAGTACTTATACACTGAGGCGTCATCTTTTTGAAAGCCAGCAACTTGGCTTCAGAGAAACTTGGGAGAGACTACTGAATGATGAGAAGCCATGTGGAGAGAGACTTTGGAGGATCAGAGACCATCTTAGATATTCTAGCCCCATCTGAGCTCCTGGTTGAATGCAGTTACATGAGCAACCTCAGCTAGACCACATGGATCAGAATTGTCCAGATAAGCCCAACCAAATTACAAAATCATAAGAAATATTGATTTTTTTTTTCTTTTAAGCCTCAATATTTGGGCTGATTTGTTACATTAATGAATAACTGAAACAAAAACTAGTATCAGAAGTAGGGTGTTCTATAACAAAGACCTAAAATATGTAGCATTGACTTTGGGACTGGGTAGCAGACAGAGGTTGCAAGGATGGAAAGGAGACTGTTAGTGAAGGCAGGAAGAGCAGTGAGAAAGTTGCTATTGGAAGCCAGAGAAAGGGGACACTGTGTTATGTATTGGCTATCAGCTGTGGTAGCTTGGAAGCTAGAAATGATATCTAACAAAGTTGTGAATTTAGCTGAAGATATTTCCAGGCAGAACACTGGAAGTGTCATTTGGCTTATTTTAGCTGCCTTATCATAAGAACTATTCCATTTTCAAGCAGAATTTTGATAAAATATTTCAAACTGGTCTTGCTAGATTGAACAATAAAATATATTTTCATTCCTTGCCTCTCTGTCTGGCAAAAGATTCTTCAAATAAGATATGGTCTCAGGGCAAAAATCAAATCCAGGGCACTACCAGTAAAATATGGCCTTGGTGTGAAGATCAAACAAATAAAGGGTCAGCCATAAGACTCTTTGCTAAGATCTAACATCTTTGTTAAGATTTAAAACTTAAGATGATGTTCTATAGACCCTCTCAACTAGACAGAAGGATTTCTAAGAATCTTAAGAGTTGTGTTCCACAACACCCTTGTACCCTAAGTAGGGGGTCTGTCTTGACAGAGTGGAGTGCCTTTTGTCTGACTGAGTAGACTATAATTTATTATTTAGAAGGCCCACAGAGTTTTAAAGAGAATTTTAATAGTGAAAGCAGTGCCAGTGTGGACTAAAGGGACAGAAACAGTTCAAAATGAAAAGAGGCCTCTGGGCCCTCAACTTCTCAGCCACAAACACAGGTTATTTCTTATTTAAAAGGAAAGACATCTCAGAGGGTGAAGCCAAGGTCTGAGAGAGTGGCTCTAGAAGCCAAGGAGAACAGTGGAGGACTCTCCTTGAGAGGAGAGGAAAATCCTACCAGGGAGCAGAATCAGGTCTTAGCCAAGGGAATTCTGGATTTGGGATAGACGGAGATATGTGCCTGGCTAGATATCAGAATTTTCATAGATCAGTGACTGCTGATCAGTGATTCGTGCCTCCCGCTTCCCCATCTCCCATTTTGAACAGGAGTATCTATTACTGTTATCCTGTCCTGGTCTCAGCATTGTATATTAGGTGTGTAGGAGGCAGTTAACTGTATTTTTAGGTCACAGGCAGTGGTGTGCTGGGAAATATTTAACAACTGGATTCTAGAGGGTAAAGAACCCTGATTTGTAGTATTTGCCAATTTCTGTGGTATAAATTCCCCAACCATGACTGATTTCAGACTATCTATGTAATGTCTCTGGATGCACAGTTGGGAGATATTCACAATCAGCTCTCATGAGCCAGTATGAGCCAGTTCTAGGACACCATTGAAGGCCCCTACCCTACTTTCCCCAGAGCCCCAAACTCTCTCTCTCTCATCATATCTTCAGCAAGAACAATTTTCAGATCTTTGCTTGACACTATGGTGTAGATAACTTAAATTGAAATGAAAAGTTCGAGCTAAAATATTTAAATGCAAAAGCTGAAATCCAGGCATCTGTCATTCTCACCCTCATACTTCATCTCAGATCAGTCTCCCTCTGGTGTGAACACTGTATTCATTCATTGATTAGCAAATATGTGGAAAGTATACAGACTTTGAAGTCAGAGATAATTGTGCTTGAATTCTGCCCCTTGCAAGCTGTATGACCTTGGCCATGTAAGTGAGCTTCTTTGAATCTCAGTTTCTGCATTCATAAAATGGGAATTCTAAAGTTTAGTTTATAGGGTAGTTGTGGGAATTACAGGAGATGAGGCAGGTATACTTGATACATGGTAACAATCATTATTCTCACAATGTGCCAGGAACTGGGCTAAGTGTCAGGTATACAAAGGTGAAAAAAAAACCAGCCAGGATTTCAGTGTTCAAGGGTCTCATGGTTCATGGCCATCTGTCCACCTATTCTAATCAACTCCAAACTACTTTTCAATTCCAAATGCGGTCTACTCCTTTAGACTTTCACCCATGTTTTTCCCACTATTTAGGATGTTGTTTACCATTCTCTACCCATTGAAGACAAACACTCTATAATGGCAGCCCATTTGCAATCTTCTGAAAGACTTCCCTGTCTCACCAAGTCCCAGTGAGTTACTCCTAGCCCAGCAAACTCTTGTGCCCTCATGTAGCATTTATTTCATTCTGCCTTATATTCTAATTAATTTATTTCCAGGAGCAGTACCTAAATCCCTCATGGGCAAGATTTATTTCTTGTCCCCTCCCACCTTAGTCTTCTAAGTACATTACCTGAATTAGCTCATTTAAATTATCTCAACTATAGTCTAGTTATGCCCATTTTACACATGAGAAAACTGACTATCAACAACCCAGGTCACACAGTAATAAGTGTCTGAGCAAGGATTTGAGCCCACGCTATTTGGTTCCAGAATTATGTTCTTAATCATGAGGAAAAGCACATTTTGAACTAGAATATGGTTTCATCCATCACTGGGGACTCTAGACTGTGGTCAAGCTGACCTGCAGAGTGATTTGGTTGTTTAACTCAACCAGTGTTTACTGGGCATCTACTAGGTATGGGAGAAGCAGAGGGGTGTAGTGCCCAAGGCCATGGATTCCAGAGCCATGACTGGCTCCACCACTTATCAGTCATATGACCCTGAGCAAGTTATTCAACCTTTCTGTGCCTTAGCTTCATCACCTCTAAAATGGGAATAACAATAGTACTTGCCTCACTGAGCTGTTGTGAGGATCTCAAGGCACTAGTATATGTAAAAGGCTTAAAACACAGTAAACTTTGTATAAGTGTATGTTATTTCTACTATACACTAGTCTCTGGTGATAACATGAGGAATAAATGACAGTTCTGACCTCAAGGGGCTGATATCCTGTTGGAAGACAGTCTTTATAGGAAACCTGGGAACAGGCAATTTCACACAGAGAATTCAGGTTCAGGGCAAGGGTGTGGGGGCCACCAAAGAGGAAGCACCTCACCCTCCGGTCAAGGTGGGCTTTTTGATGATGGGAGTGCTGAGTCTTGAAGTGCTGACCAGGGGAAAGGTGTCAGGAATGGGAAGGGCCTTCCAGACCTAAAAAAGCGCTTGTAGGAAGCTCAGAGGACAGAGAGATCACTTTGTGTTCTGTTTCTAGGGTACTGTCTCCGAATTCTTGATCTTTCGCTCTAGCTGCCCACTAAATTCTCTAACTCCTTTCCCCTCTATGGAAGTAACTCTCTCTTCTCTTCTATCTCCTATCCACCATTCTTATGTCCCATTTTGACCCTGTTTTGATGTGGGTAACTGAGGTATCAAGGTAAGAGGTCAGGTGTAGGGTGGATAGGTATTATAGTCCTGGTGTTTTTCCTCTTGCTCTTTTACCCAAATGAGGCATCTGGGGGAGAGGAGACAGAGAAGCTGGATCCTGAGCCAGAGAAAAGACAGACTCCCCAGCTTCTAGCCTCTGGGTCCAGGCCCAGGAAGTGGATGGGCTCACACCACAGCCTGGGGAAATTTGTAGGGTCTTTAGATAGACGAGCTAAAGGAGATGGGAGCAGGCAGTCTTAAAAGAAATGAAGTTTACCCACTTCTCAGCTGCTCATTGGTCACATCTAAACTACAAGAGAGAGACTTGAGAGGTGGTAATCCTGGATTAGATTACAGGTCATGGGAAGGAAGAGCTGGAATTGTATAGGAGAGAAGTCAGGGGTTAGGTTGGGGAGGACACTTTTCCTTTCCTTGAGAGGTCAGGTTTTGAGGAAGATCTACAGATCAGGAACCCACCTGTCTCAGCAAAGCTGATGATCTCATATTCCTGCCCCCTGTCAGCCTCCGGAAGCGCCCCCTGTGGGGGCCCATGGAGGCGCTGCAGCGCAGTCCTCAGAGCAGCTCTGGACACTGGCCGGCTCAGGGTTGGGCGCTGGCTGAGGTGCAGCTTGTCCAAGATGCTTCTCTTGGCCAGATGGAGCAGCAGCTTCCGCTGGCTCTCCAGGTCCAAGGCATGCTTTCCACATGCCAGACACTGACTGTCAGCTCTGGGAGTGGCCACTGTGGCCAGATCCAGAAATAGGAAGGCCAGGAACAATGAGGAGATCATTGCTGGAGGAAGCCCTCCTTGAGTGACACAGTTGAGACAGGGCCACAAACTTTGGGCTTAGGGTCTCAATAGCTGTGATCTTGGTTCCGCCCTGGCCGCCAGAGGCCCGGGAAGGAGAGTGTGTCCAGCTGGCATGAGTCCTTGTTGCAGGGGATGGAACAGCCAAACATCTGACTTGAGAGATGAAGCCAGTTACACGTAGAACTTGGCAGAAGCTGCCAACACATAATCAGTGAAAGTACAGAGTGGGGGATGTTAGTGGAGGTTGGTTTATTTGGGGAAAGAAATGTTCCTGGGTCAATGCTGGGAGACAGTGGGTTGTCCATGTGAGCTGCCAGGCCTGGGGACAAAGGTTAGAGATGAAATTCCCTTTCAGATCAATGGCCTTGCTGGGAAGCCTGGTGGGGAAAGAGAGATCAGAGGTTTTAAGATAGAATATTAAAGGGTGACTTTCAAACAAGAGGAGTCATTGGCAGGCACTTTAGGTCACTGTCACGCAGGAAATTGAGAGTTTGAGAGTCGAATTTTCCTTTGCCTGGTACTTCCCACCTCCCTCTTCCCCTGCCCCCCTAATCCAAACTCTCTTTTGAGCAGAGCAGGGGCACAAAAAATTCCAGTTCTAGTTGGGTCTTCTGTGTACTCAGAGGGAAGTCTGAAGGGGGGGGAGGGGGCTTGAGAGCTAGATTTACTCTGGGGTTTCTTCTGCTTAGGAAAAGAAAATTTGAGATTTCTCAGAATTCCTGCCTTTCTTCCCCAAAGGTCCTGAGTAGTAGATCTCCAGGGAAAGACTTTTGTTTCCACAAGGGGGATTTACCTGGCAGGAATGGCAGGTGGATTTAGGAGCATAGATTTTTAAGCCAGATGACCTTTGTTAAATTCTGTCTTTTCCTTTTATCAGCTGTGTGACTCCTGGTAAGTTACTTGACCTCTCTTGCTTTAGTTTCTTCATTGGAGAAATAGGGAAAATTATTATCCATGATTCCAAAATCCAAAAGTAATCCATGGTTTTGTGTTTGTTTTTTTGTAACTCATATGGTGGTTAAACCTGACCTGAACAGAAGTGAGGTTATTTATGGTCTTTTAAAAAATCATAATGAGACTATTTATACATTTTCTTACTCTAGAAATATTATTTGATTATGGAATGCTACTCCTGGAGGTGTTACATAATATACATTGTATATACCATTTTACCTTTAGAAAATTTTCTGAATTCTGAATTCTGGTCCTACGGATTTTGACTATGGGATTATAGGTCTATAATGATCATTTCACAGTTTTGAGATTTAAATAGTTTTGTAAAAACTTACAGTGGCTGGCACATAGTAAGTGCTTAATAAAAGTTTATTATTATTCCTGCTACATAGGTCTGTTTGTGGGCCAGAGTACCCTCACCTTTAAATGTGGTGAAGAAATTCCACCGTCTGCCCTTCTGGACTCTTCTTTCCTAGACCCATGTTCCCAACCACTATCTGTAGTGCAGTCACTTAGTAAGTCATCTCTGGTGCTTACCATTATATTGCTAGTATTGTACACAGTGCCTCGTCTATAATGCAGGTGCTTAAAAAATATATTTGAATGAATAGATGACACAATCCAGGCTGCTTCTCAGAAATTATAGGTAAGTTGAATTTTTGTGTGTCAGAGTTACTTAACTCTCTTCTATAGGGGCTGATCTTTTTTTTCCTTCTTCTTTTTTTAAGGGCCATGATAGATGAAGATTTGTTTGGTCTCTAGTATAAATTTATTAAAAATAAGTTTTATTGAGATATAATTCACATAAAATTCACTCTCTAGAGTATACAATTCAGTGTTTTTTAGTACATTCTGCAGTTCTTGTTGCATAGTAAATATTTAATGGTCAAATTCTATCGATGAAAGACTACAACGCTTCTTTGAGGTCAGTAAGTGATCCGAGTACATGTAACCAATAACTAAATTGATTCTCCCTAAGGTGGACAGAATGGGGAAGGTTGCAAATTTAAAGTGACTCTTAAGAAAAAGAACTGTATCTTAGAGGGAGGTGTTGGTAAGAAGTGATTTCAGCAGCATGAACTTCAACCTGCTATATTTAGAATTAAATTTTTACATCTGAAAAAAATGGACATTTACCCACCACATCTTTACCCATTTATACTACATATATTTATTGCAAAAATGCTCTTTTGGGAGGAGTTACTGTCCTAAGTCAAAGGTTGTTTTGAAAGTGCTCTGTAATTTTAAAATACTTTAGTTAATAGTATTATGTTTAAGTTAGGGTGAATCTGACAAGCTTGAGGGGCTTAGGGTGCACTAAGGATCCCAGTGGATGTGGGTTGGCAGCTTGAGACACAGGGAACGCAGAGGGAGCGGCAGAGCGAGCGGCAGAGGGAGCAAACGAGCGGGCGAACTGAGAGGGTGGGCGAGCAAGTCCCCGGCGTCCGCCAGCGCGCAGAAGCACACAGGAAGCAGAGAAGCGAGGGGCGCAAGACGCGGTGACGATTACGTCGGGCGTGGTGACGTAGCGTGCAGGCCGCAGCGGGGGGCGGACTCTGGGCCTTTTCTTCCCCTTCTGATTTTCCCCCTCCCCCCTTTTCTCCCTTTCCGGGTTTGGTTCCCCCCATTTCTCCCCCTCTCC